CACACACACACACACACATATATATATATATATATATATATATATATATATATATATATATATATATATATATATATATATATATATATATATATATATATATATATATATATATATATATATATAATGGAAAAAAAGCAGGCCCCGCGCGGATGGTTGGCCCTAGGCCCCGCGTATTCCTAACGCCGGCTCTGTCTCTATCTATATATATAATTCTCTTCTGGGAGACGTTAGAAAACAAGCTGCAAGCGCGCCTTGCAGTCACATCTCTTCCTCTCTATGGCTACCACCCCCACCCCCCTCACATGGTCTGGTGAGCTGTGGTTCACGCTAAATGTTTACATTTTACAATCGTAGAGCCGGGTTTAGTGACGGCTATTAGGGGCAGATAATTTAGTTTGAAACGATTTTATTAATTTTAAACTTAGAGGAGGTAACTAAGATGAGGCTGCTTTCACGGGGGGGGGGGAGGGGGTTTAGTGTTTTAAAGTAAATATTTTCAATGGCAGCATTGGTACTGTCGAATTAACAAATTATGAATTACTGAAAAGTGGAAAAAAAAAACTAAATAGCGGCGTATGATACGCCGCGGGTCGGCTCGTAATATATAAAGCAAAGTTGTCGTGTGCCCGACAGGGCACTTCCCGGCGCCGCAGGCGCTTCAAATTTGGCAGGATCTTGCCTTGGGGCGACAGAACACGGGGGCCGGTTGGCCGAAAAGTCTACGATGAGGGGATCAAAACTGACCTCGACTGACCGGCACCTTTATATGAGCTATACATCGAATAAAAATGTCCACGTAGGAACCTATTCATAATTCCTGAGGTCGCAGACCGACCCTCGGGCGAATTAATTAAGCATTCAAATTCTCAATGTTTTCGAAAGCCTAAGCAAAGCTGGGCAGCATGCCTAGTATATGTACTAATGTACTAAAAAGTAGAAAATAAATTATAGACTACTATTTAAATAACTATAAAGAAAAGCGTGGGTCTCTTCCTGAATATTAGTAAAGGTAAATAGATACTAAACTGACCCACGCTTTTCTTTATAGTAATTTAAATAGTAGTGTATAATTTATTTTCTACTTTTTAGTGCATTAGTACATAAGAGCTTGTTATTAAAACGTTTTTTTATGAAATTCTTTTTGGTATACAAATTTAAATCAGGGATTTATGACAAACAATCCGATATTTTTTCCTAATTTTTTTTTGTTCAAGTTTGGTTGGGATTCCTGCCTAGTTGCATGCTTAGGTATTTAGCACGTTCATTTCCCATTACAGCTGAGAAATTCTATATCCTGTACTTACACATTCTTTCTCCGGCTTTATTTCTTCCTAAATTTCTATCACTTCGAGATAATTCTCTTTTTTTTCTTTTTTTTCTCTCTTTCACCATCTCTCTTTCTCCCTCTCTCATTTTCTTTGACTCACTCTATTTCTCTTTTTATTTTCATTTCTTTCTCTTCCTCTTTCTTTGTTTTTCAATTTCTATCGTTAAATATTTTTATTTATTTCTCGTTCTCGCCCAAGCTTTCTTTGTCTTTCTTTTCCTGTCTCTCCTACTTCCTTTCCTTCTTTCTGTTTTTTTTTCTTTCTCTCTCTATCTCTTTCTCAATCTGTTTCTGTCCATAGAAAATTGGATTTTTATTTTTTCAAATCTTCCTAGTTCATTTCTGGGTAATCCGATCACGCGATCTTCGGCTGAATTATTAATGACGTTAATCTTAATTTACTGTGATTTGACTGTCTTGGTCTGCGTCTTTTTGTGCAGTTGGCTCAATACATGTTGACTGAAGAGATCCACAGAGCTCAATTGTTCATATGTGTGTATGTTTGTGTACATGTGAGCTGTCTATGTAAGAGCGTTTAATAACGCGGTGTGTCTTTTTGTATTTCCCCTTGGGAGGGTCATCCATAAATGACGTCACGCTTTTTTGACGATTTTTACCTCCCCCCCTCCCCTCCGTCACACATCGTCACAAAAAGCCAGCCCCCCCCCCCCCTAAAATGACGTCACACTTCAGCCTACAACCCGCCTCAAAATTGCGGTTGAATTTTTCTTAAAACATCGATGTTTTTCCAAAATCTTGTCTGAACTCTGTCAAAATAGAGTATTGTAATCAATTACTATTGCAATTTATTAAAACAGTTTTCTAAAACGCGAAAAAACGTCTAAAATTCGTTTTCTAACATTGCCTTTTATATTGCAAAAGTGTGACGTCGCACCATCTGACCCCCCTCCCCCCCCCCCACCCCTCACCATACACCGTCACAAAATTACGGACCCTCCCTCCCCGCTAAGAGTGTGACGTCATTTATGGACGACCCCTTGGCATATGCATGCGTGCGTGCGCATCTTTTCAGTGCATCTGTGGGGGGAATGTGGGGCGTATATGTGATTTTGTTTTGTTCGTCTCTGTTTAAAATCAATTTCTCATGTCCTTTATCCTCATGCAATATTAATTGAATAAAAATCAACACATCGTCTTCCTCTTTGTTGTATTGATTACATTCATAATAGGCTGTCACGGTTGATTCTTTATGATGTTTTGAAAATTTGACGGGGTTTTTTTTTCTGTGCCCGCTGTTATGTTACTTCGGAAAAATATTATTTTCTTCTTATTCTGCTTTAGTGTGGAAGAGATTTCCTCCAGCACAATTTAGCATAAGTGTCAACTTGTTATGTGCCACATAGGCCGTTGACTCCAATTTCATCCTGCTTTTCTTTTTAAGTTTGCTTCCATAGTCTTAGGACAACCAAGAACAAATTACAAGGCAGCAGCTTTTTAGCGCAATTTCCATTCTGGAGAATTGCGATTATTAACTCGTCATTTCTGGGAATGGATGTGTGTTCGCAGCTTTAAGTCGTATCTCCTCCTCAACGAAGCAATATCGAGGACTAGTTCCAAAGCAAAAATGTTAAGCAAGTTCCAAGGATGATTGTGAGCCAAAAAAAGTCGCGAGTTTCCTTCCTGGATTTCCCGGAAAAGCCAAAAAAAAACTCTTAAAAAATGCAGTTTTTGGCCCATATCTCGGCAACGAGACCACTTAGCGACTTGAAACATTTACCAATAGAAGCCTGCCATAATTTAGAACAATATTGCCGAAGAAAGTTTTCAAAAATATCCTTTCGTTCGGTCACAAAAAATTAATTTCTTCTAATTTGTATTGGCTAAGATTACTAAGAATATACAAAACCAAGCACACCGGCAGTCGCTAGTGAGCGGTAACGTCTACTTGTTTCATTTTGGAGTGTCTCCGCAGCTGTCAAGCCTCATCTACCCGAGGGTTCGAACTCGAGACTTTTTGAGCATTCATTCAAAGTCCTTAAGACTAGAGGACTACATATAAAACAAGAAGACTTCATTGAATGTCTTTAAGGCTACACGATATCACTAAAAAAAAATGATCTGATAGGCTTTTTTTGATTACTTCCGAAGACATTATTTACCAGTGTTTCTTTCCGACTCTTTTTCTCAGGGAAGAGTCGTTTTATTTCAGGGGTGGGGGGGGGGGGGAACGGACAATAAATTATAATTTATATATTTTTCTATTGCGTTTCGGGAGAGGGAAAGGTGGGCGTGCTTCGGGGGTATTGCCCCTCCCCTTGAAGATATGCATGAAAGAAAATCTGTTATCCACACCCTAACAAAACTGTACTTATGACTTCATTGTATTTATGATTTATGACTGTATTCATGGATTTTTATTGTTGGTTTGCAGTCAGTGTTTCTTCCAGACTTTTTTCTCCGGGGGGGGGGGGGGGTCGGTAAACTTTCTTCGGGGAGGGGGGGGGGTAGGACACTGTTAAAAGTATATATTTTCTATATAAATTATATACATTTCATTTCGTTCGGAGTGGCGGTAAAAAAAATTCGGGGGGGGGGGGCTTCGTCCCCCCGAAGAGATGCCTGGAAGAAACTCTGTTTGCAGTTTTGTGTGGCCATTATAGCGTGTTGCTTTCGGAAAAAAGATCATGTCTAAATGCAATCATTTCAATGTCCTTACATCGAGCAGACTCATCGAATGTCTTTAAGTAAATATATGACCTTTCCATCCTGGCCTGTAAATGACGGGTGAAACGCTTTTCTGGATCTTTTGATAGACATTTTATAATTAACTTGGGTTGATTCATGGCCTACATATTGGAATAATGATAAAGCGCATAAAACATTTTAACTGTTTAAAAAATATGTAGTCTAGGTCCGATTATTTTTAAACAATTTTGATATGTATTCGTTTCTTAAATTTAGATGTGGCCTTATGAAATTCATAGAATTTTATATCATGTTTCTATTTCACCTTTCACGATTATCCGTAAAAGAAAAAAAAAAGCTTTTTAAAAAATAATTAATTTAGCAAAAAAAAAAAAGAAATTAACAAAACTATATATAGATCTAGATCTATATATATATGTATATATATATATATATATATATATATATATATATATATATATATATATATATATATATATGCCTCCGTTATATTTCTAAAGCCCCCCCCCCCCCCCTTCTACAGCGTTAAACTTTAGTCGAATGTGTGTGACGTCACTTATGAATTTACCCTTGAGCCTGTTCGTGTTTATTTTGCCTATCCTTTGAATTGACGTCAGCGCCATGCTGCACAACGACGGTGCTCATTGAGACTGTGTGAAAGGCTTATTTCTTATGTCTGATTTCATTCACTGGTGAAGTTAATATTACAAATTTCGGTCTTAGCTTATCATTGCGATCACGATACGTGTTGTTAGAGAAAGGAGTAGGGGTGTGGATAAGTAAGAAATGTTGGGGCCTATAATTACTAGAATCTATAATACATTTTTTAATTAAAAAAATAACGAACAAATATAAAAACTACCACACTGATAAATTCTGCAAATATGAAATTTGTATGACAAAATATATCTATAACCTTATAGATCTAGTACTTATTATTTTATACTGATTTGTTTATTTTTTTAAGTAGTTGCAATTGAAATTGGCTACATTTTAACATTTTTATCTGGAATTCCTGGCTTCTCTCGAGTAAGGAAATGACCCTGCAAGTTAAATAAGTACGGAGCATAAGCTTGGTAACACCATAACATTTCATTGATTACAATGATTACATAATATTATATTACTCTCTTTACTTAAATTTTTAATACTTTATTAATTGGTCTGGTACCTCTTTACGCCTTCATTAGACTTTTTCTCCTTTATTTAAAGATATCTTTTTATTATCTAATATCTAGATTTAGGGTAATCTATCGTTTTAGGTACGTAAAATCGCCCGAGACTAGTAATGTGAAAAACAGGTGACTCCTTACATTTTAATAATTATTTCACATTTTGAGGAGGATTTATGTTTTGAAAAATACAAAAATGTTTCCATGTTTCATTTATGTACCTGTTTTTAAACAATTGAATTAAAACTTTTCAGTAATAAATGAACACTAGCGATGTTTCCAATAGATGCAACCATGCTCATTTACTATAGCAGCCATCTTGTTAAAGTTTTATTTTTATAGACATAGCGGGAGATTCAGGGGGAAGTCACTCTATTTTACAAATGGCTGCTGTTTATATAGGAAATCTTACTTGCAGACACTGCTGTTTAAAGTTAATTTCTGGCCTATATTGATATATTTAGCCATTGTTTTAGGTTTATTATCCATTTATCTATAATATTTGACACAAACATATCACAATATACTTCTAGTACAGCCTTGACAACGAGGTAACGTTTTCGTACATTAATAGCCGCGGGCGATTTTACGTACCCAAAAACGATAGATTACCAGATTTAGTTTTGAACTTCGGTAATCTATCGTTTTAGCGTAATCAATTCGGTCGTCACTAGTAATGTAGGGATAAGGTAACTAATAAATTATTAAATACGAGCCGGCCCGCGGCATAACATACGCCGCTATTTAGTTATTTCTAATTTTCAATAATTCATAATTTGTGAATTCGACAGTACCAACGCTGACACTGAAAATATTTCTTTAAAACACTATAAGTAGCTCGTTAAGGACCATAACCCCCCCCCCCCCCCTTCTTCCCCCCCCCCCCCCCCCCCCCCCTACGTTTAAAATCGTTGGCTCTGCTTGTAAACATTTAGAGTTAACACAGCTCACTAAAACCATGTAGGGGTGGGGAGGTAGGGAGAGCGTTTGCAGCTTGTTTTCTAACGGCTCGAAGAGGAGAATTATATATATAGATGGCTTAAATATGAATATATTTTTGCATATTCTACTAAAATACTGAAGATAATTGAATATTAAACCACATTTGTCATTTAAGGGTTAAATCAAAAAAATGTCATGAAATTAAGGTTTAACAACGATGTTCCAGATACTAAATTTCCTATTAAATACAGCGGCCATCTTAAGAAAATATTATTTTGAGTCATTTCCCTTTCTTTTCTATTTGTATTGGAAATGTATTGATGTTTGCTATTAAATACGTTTGTCTTGTGTTTAAATACAAAGCATGCGTTTTTAAAAAAAATTCTGCCCTTTAAACAATTTAATTACCTGACAATAAACATTAGTTCTAGAATTATTATTGTGAGATGCAATTTGTATGCATTAAGAAACTCCCTATTTTTATAGAGCTACCGCTACATATCTAATGTTTATTTAAATATTAGTTTGAGTTAATTATTATTGCTTGTGTTATTGTTTATTTGCTATTTTCATTTCATATTTTCAAGCTTTTTTCCTTTAATTAGTGATTTAATCATAAATGACGTCACGTTTTTTATACCTATCTTCACCTTACCCCCCCCCCCTGCCCCCATTTTCGCCGTCACAAAATAGTCGTAATGTCGAAAATTACCTTTTTGCCCTGCCTGTTAAAAAGTCAAGCCATAATTCAAACGAAAAAGAATTTTTTCAGCATTTTTGTATAAGGCGAATGGTGACAAACTTTTAAGTTTTCGATTTGCACCCCCCCCCCCCCCCCACTTAAGTTTGTCTATATTTTTTGCCTTGGTGTCACCCCCCCCCCCCCCCCCTAGTAAATGGTGTCACCCGGTGCGGTCCTGCTCCACCCTTAAGTGCGTGATGTCATTTATGGTAGATCTCAAGTCCTAACCTCCAATACACATTTTTAAACAACCTTTGTTGTCAAAATGTTGATACCAAATACCCAAAATGAGTTATATGGGGTTGTCCATAAACAATGTCACATATACTATTCTAATAGGACGTCAAGTTACGCAGGACTAAAATTTATGACCTATAATGAAGGGGTGATGGGGGGGGGGGGGGGATGAGTGACGTCAATTATGGAAGAGTTCTATAAAGCTGTGCTCAATGAAAATGAGGAACATAAAGCGTTCGTTTCCATGCATGCCTTTGCTCATAACGAATGATCATAACTATTGCAAGCCTGTTGTCCTAAGCGGTGTTAAACAACCTCAGCACACCATCCCCGCCAAAAAGGGCCTGCCACTAAATGCCTACCGACGAAAACAGGCCGCACTACATTGACTCCAAATGAAATAACTTCTGACAATAAGGCTCAAACCAACTAGCTCCTGGCAATGGTATTCGACAAGAATCCAAGACAATTATTGGCTTGCAGGTAAAATTGGACAAAACAGCAAGTTTCGCGACATGGGGCATAACAATAGATCAACCCTTAATACAACAGCAGCTAATGTAAAAAGCCAGAGCTCATTATAGGCTTGAGTTTAATATAGTAAGTGTTAGCAGGTGACGGTGCATTAGGAATACGGCAGTCGGCTAAACGCCCGAGCCCGACGATGTCTGAACATCAAGTTTGTCTTTTATGAAGTGCGGAGCACCTTTAAGAGCTGAGCTTGGGGGGGGGGGGGGGAGTCCCTTTTGACACCACCATTATCGCTGCTTATGTCCACATATCAATCACAAGTTTTGCGTGGAGCTTAATGGGCAGACATAGTGTGTGGGACTAGGAGCCTAAATACATATACGGAAGCTGCTGTGTCACAGGCATTTTACAGCCGAACGTCTCAGGGCAGCAGGTTGCAGAAATTAAAAGCAGGTGAATTTGTATAGTAGAGGGAGCACCGCATGCCACTGTAGTAAATTAAACACCAATATAATTTACCGAACTAAAGTCTTTTAGATCTATTCGTCAGGCTAAAAGTCGCTAAAGTCTCAACTACATAGTGCCTGTTTTGATTGTTTTTAATTACGCGTATCTCTTTCTTTAACATTAGTCTAAGTAGGGGATGTAACGGCGGGGTTGAAAAAATGACGTATTTCTTTTTTTAACAGACGAATAAGGGGTCATCCATAAATGACGTCACGCTTTTTTGGACGATTTTTACCTCCCCCCCCCCCCCCCCCCCCCCCCCCCCCGTCCAATCCGTCACACGTCGTCACAGGAAGCCAGACCCCCCCCCCCCCCCCCCTAAAATGACGTCACACTTCAGCCTAAACCCCCCCCCCCCTCTTAAAATTGCAGTTGAATTTTTTTAAAACAGCTATATTTTTCCAAAATCTTTTCTGAACGCTGTCAAAATAGAGAGAGTATTTTAATCTATTGCTATTACAATTTATTAAAACAGTTTTCTAAAACGCAAAATAACTTCTAAAATTCGTTTTCTAACATTGCTTTTTATAATGCAAAAGTGTGACGTCACCCCATATGAACCCCCACCCCTCCCCCTCATCACACACCGTCTCAAAATTACGGACCCCCCCTCCCCCATACGAGTGTGACGTCATTTATGGACGACCCCTAAGTGATAGATTCTAATTCTCCTACGAACTACAGGTTGATCTAGGTTTTTTTTTCTAGAGGGAGATATCACTATATAGTGGGTGTTTTTTTGTTTTTGTAATAATGGATGGTGAGGAGTAAACATCGACTATTGAACAAATCAACAACTGATGAAAGCAGAAGGCAAAGAAAAAAAAACCATGTGGTATTCAAATGTAACTAATTAAAATTTTAAACTATTTTTATAAAGACAATAATCTTAATTCATAAAAAGTGTAGGCTTAAGACTCATGTCTACAGACAAAATAAACAACTAGGCTTAAATGGATCACCCATAAACAATGCCGGCGCCAGGTTATTTAGCGCCCTAGGTAAAACTTATTAAAAGCGCCCCCCCCCCCCCCTGCAATTTTTTTCATGCCCCCGTATTATCAGAGGCATAGCGACCCTTCCAGGCGCCCAGGGACAAGCTTACCATTTGCACCCCCCCCCCTCAAACTTTCAATTTGTTTTTCCAACACATTTTGGCCCCGCCCCCCCCCCCCCCCCTACGGACAGCACCCTAGACGAAAGCCTAGTTCGCCTTATAGGTAGCGCCGGCCCTGTCCATAAATGACATCATACTTTTCCCGACGAATTCCCTTACCCCCAATCGTCACTGAAAGCAAGATGATGGTTTAATATCATATCGCTGTTCTACGATACCCGAACGCGTAATCACAATTTCTAACGAAAACGAATATATTGCTCATCATTGTTTTAATATATTTTACCCCGTCCCATATTTTGAGTCCAACGTCATTTATGAAGAATATGGACGACCTAATAATTGACAAGTTCATCAGTACAAAAGGGTTTAATAAATGTTGGACTTCCCAAAAGTTTGAGATCTTGGATGTACATACACACATAGCCTTCATTTCAATTTGAAATTAAAGATAAGAAGACGGCCCTCTGTGCTACTTACATTAAACAAGACAGCTATGTATATTAAACAACAAAGTCAAAACAATATACATACGAATAGACATTTGTATCAAGGGAAACTATTCTAAATTTTATTTGGAAAGATGGCCGCTGTTTTTATCTACTAATATTTATCTCAAACACCTAGTTTGAAGTTAGTTTCATGATATTTTAAATTGTTTTGGTCACTGATTGTTATTTTAAATCAATTATCTGTTATATTTTGTAAAATTTGACTTAGGCTAAATAAACTTATTTAAACAAATATTAATATATTCATCAGTTACCTCTCCCGCACATTACTACTGCAGCCGAATTGATAACGCTAAAACGATAGATTACCAGAACTTCTAGTACTTCTAGATCTTGAGTCCCTAGCCTGTCGTAGCTTAGTTACTCTACTACTACT